AAAGCATAGGTATCGATTACTGCTGAAAACGCTGGCGTACGCTCGAAAAGCTGGGGGACGCTCAAAATGCCGGATTGATACCTGCACATTCCTAGTCACTATTCCTTGAAAAACTAGATCGATACCTACGCTTTCATGGTCGCTCAAAACGATGCCAGACACTCAAGACGCCGCCGCAAAGTATGAGCGCACCACACCTGATTTTTATTTTATTCTTCTTAGGAAATGGAGGAAGAGATTCTTGACGTACTACATGAGTCGTGGGATGATTCGACCCTTCTTCGACGTGATGTTCTGTTGGCCGAGATTGCTATGCGCCTTGAGCACATGACCCTTCGATTCGTCGACACTGTTGTGAGCTATTTTTCTTTATTTAATCCAGTGGAGTAGTAAAGGTAACACATTCCAGGTTCTGGATAAGGTGGAGCAGAGGCGTGTCCTCGCGATGGACCTAACAGGAGTGACCTCGAGAGTAGAACTCAGTCCACGGCAACATTCTTTGGTTATATCACTGGCAGTTTACGACATGAGCATACAGCGATTGCGCATAGGACATCCACCACCGAAGGTTGGTTGGAAAGACCAGGGCAACTTCCTTTGAATGGAATCTCGGGTGGAAAGAAGCGGTGTAATTATTGATAAAACCAGTACATTTGCTTATGCAGTCTCGTCACAACGAATGAAGCGGCGTGTCAAGATGTAAGGGTTTGGCGCGGTGTCACAGCTTTACTCCTCCAGTTGTTCAAGCGGTAAGCGACAGCAGTTAGGAAGAGCGACCTACACGAACAATATAATACAGTCTTGTCGCTTGCTCGCCTCCATAACTGGTGTCAGGCGCTATGCCAAAGCGAGCGACGTTCTTTTCATGTCCTCCCCTCCTTCCCTTTTTTCTGATTTTGGAGGTATAACTCTCCCCGTCAAGGATTTGTATGATTACTTTCTAAGCATTTTGCAGCTATTATCGGGTGTTCGGTTTTTAGTTTCTTACTAATTCTCTTTGGAAAGTAGCCCCGGCAGCTTACGTGCTGTCAGATTTCTGCAAGATACTAGAGGATGGGTTTCTTTAGCGGAAAAGTAACGGAATACATTGATTCTGTACTCTTATGTATTTCACGTTGTGAGAGGGCTGTCAGGCGGGGTTGGGCTGTGTTTAGGAACCGCTTACCAGTGCCCACTCTTGGATCTGCATCCGTCCATCCATGGAGACGGTCAAGGCAACCTCAATTTGTCGCTCCGCCGTACGCGGCGATTTGCGCGGCGTTTCCTTGATTTATCGACGAATTATGATTCACACATCCCACGTCCAGCCCAGGCCTATCTACGCAGGCGCTAAGTTGGTACCAGTTTCGGATAAGAGGAACGCTGGCTTATAAAAGTACGCCAACCAGGCCTATCTACGCAGTAAGTTGGTACCAATCTAGGATGATAGGAACGCGGATTTGTAAGAGTACAAAAGGTCCCCGCAAGTCATTGGGCCAGGCCACACTGCATTCATTGAGCTACTACAGTTGTGAATGAAATTAAAATGCGTGTCGTGTCATTGATCGACGAGGAATACATCCTTTACCCTTTAATGAAGGGCTGCAGGCGCTGAAGGGGTGAAATGTCCGTCTTTGAAAGGATTCGGAGTATCAGGTGTAATAAATGAACTCACTGAATAAGGCTCCCCTTAGATGGGTTTCAATTTCTCCGTTGTATTCTGCCTTATTGCTTTCTCTCTGAAGATGTAAAATCTCGACTGCCATGTTGCCCATACGTCTTTAAAGATGTTTGCTTTCAGGATGGTCAATCAGACTATGAACTTGATCAATCGTTCATGTTTTCTGTGATGGAGTCGACGAAAATTCTATTAGCTGTGGGGCGAAAGGATAGTAATGAGGACAACTCGGAACCGATGTTCAGGTTAGGGAATAAGGGCATATGTGATTCTCTGATTTGCCATCCAAATCAAGAGTCAAGTTCAGAATGCTGTACCGGCGGCGGTCACCACGGCTCACCGTGCGGCACAATGTGGAGGGCAGCTTCCGTCCGGTGTCTGTAATGTACGAAGAGAATGCGCTGAGTGGTCTATCTACTCTGTTTTCTGATGATCCTAATATGTTTACATCAGTAAGTGTATTGTAGTACAGTACATCGCCTGGAGCAAACCTTATTTCAAAGGGCTATATGGAGCAGTTCATATTTCAGAGCGAGATTCTGGCTGGAGTAATACCGTCTAGCAATCAACAGATTATGGCTGTTGACTCTCATATATTCGTGAATCTACACATTCCGAGTGTGAGTTGGTAAAGTTTATGCTCGCACGTGTCCTTAAATAGGTATTTCGTTTGACGCGCGATGTCGCAGCGCGATGCCCCTTGCGTTCACATTCGCGACCAGAGCGATCCAATCAATTTTTTTTGATGGATCGCGCGCCTGCTACCTGCAGAGCTGCACCGCTATTCGTTGGACCATCGCAGTAGCAACCCCTTTCAGCACAAATTCTTTTGGCCACTTCAGCCCTTCAACGATTAGAGGTAGAGTGCGGTTCTGAAACAATGACGCGACTGAATCGCTGAAGTCGCTAGCTGCCACTACATACACTCCATTTCCGCACATGAAGAGGGCGTGGCTGCGTACTCCACTTGAACATGGCGGCGACTGGGCTTTAGGTGGCATAGTGCCGTTTTGCGACAATTGCAATCATGTTTTTGTTCAGAGTTACGAACAAGGTCCTTTAACGCGCAATATCCTGTTTCTCGCCTTATCCGATTCTCCTGTTCGCCGGTTCTCCTGTCCTCTTGTTTTCCAGTGTCGTAAAGTATGAATCAGTACTAATTGAGGCTGCTTGACGTTTGCCGCCTAATACCAGCATACTTGCAGTGGTGACCATACCTGTGACTCACTTTCCGACTCGCTTGCAGGTAACGATGGAATTGCGTCGTCGTGGATGGGATGAAAGGAAACGGTCATCTCCCGAGTGGGAAGCTGGTGATCCTTTTGCCTGTCTCACTCTGCAGAATGTCTCTGTCGGTTATGTGACCAGAGAAGCACATGTGTCGAAGGTACTTCAGGAAGCTCACCATCTTGCCAGCACTCTTGTCCGTAATCGAGCGCTGCTCTTCCACGAATAACCTTTTAAGATCAAACTCGGCGTTGGTCATCTCGAGCTGGGCGATCTGATGGAGCGTACAACATACCCGTTGTTGTCAACAAGAGGGACATTTGCGATATCGGTCAGTCGTTTTGCACCATACAGTAGCAGCATTTCTTCCTTTTACGGTAAAGGAAGGCGGTTGTTCTGAAATGTTTTAAGGCCCTGTTCATTTCATGAAAAAAAAACTCGAAGCTTTCTGATCGTGCTGTTTTTTCTCAGAAAACTCTCTCAACATCTTGCCCTGACCTGTCCACAGCTCCATCTTCACAACAGATTGTGTCGTCATCATTACCGTCTCGTAGTTTACTAGAAGGTATGTTTTGGTATGGAGTAAAAATTGCTAAAGAGTGTTTTCAGAGTTTCGAAATATTCAACATATTAAAGGAAGAAGCAGTCGGCCGGAGATTGCAACCATAGTAAAATTACTGAATTCTAGATTTCGCGGCAGTCCATGTACCTCGTAAAATAAGCACGGCTGTTGACGGAAAGCGGTCAGCAGAAGAGAGGGAGGCCACTATACTTATCACGTTGGTAGATCCAAAGCATCCTCAGTTTGAGTCGAAGCACATGAAGGTATGATTGAATACTGCAGGTTTTCTTTTCGAAATATCGGAAACAGCCCCCCCCCCTATTCCCCGCAAGCCACGTAAATTTTTTGAGGATTTTCAGTATGGAAATGTAGGTCAGAAGTCCGCAGGTCTTTTTCTCTTCTCTCCTCTGTTATTTTCTTGCCGTTTGATCTTGCAACATTTTCTTATTTTTTGTGCTTGATAATGGGTAGCCCAAAGTTTTTAGGAACCCTTCTCTGATTTTCATTTTTTCACATACTGTGGTGCTTAAAAGGACTACTGCTTTTCTATCTTCCGGTCACTTTTTTCAACATTTTCTTTCATTTTTAAGTTGACATCTGCATCAAAGTGGAAAGTTCCCTGAAAAGGGAATAATTACCTTTACAACTGGTACACTAATGTTGGGTAGTACACATTCAGTTCTCAGCTGCAGGGCTAATCAAAGTGGTCTTCAGTCTCCATAAAATTCAGTTCTTAGCTGCAGGGCTAATCAAAGTGGTCTTCAGTCTCCATAAAGTAGCCTACTGGTTATGATGGCTCTTCAGTCAGTTCAAGGTAGCGTTTGGGTTGGAAGCGATATTGAGGTACTGAAGTCACTCTTTGGGAAATGAGGGAAAGACTGTTTGAGCAGCTGCAGCTAGCTGCAAGTAGTTCCTAAGGGATTTGTTAATTGTAGTAAGCAGAAAGGGGAAAACCATCCATTTCCGTTGAATTCTGCACAGCATGGAGCCACTGTGAATTCAGGACTTGCTGTGATGCTGAACGGAGGTTGACTCTTAACATTACCTTGAAAAAAGAGATTGTCAAATGCTAACCAGGCAGGCAGGTCACTCTTCGCGCGCCGTTCGCCATGAGTGCGCTCCTCCGCTTCGCCTGTCGGATCCTGGGCTCCAAGTCTCGCCGTCTTGAGACTCCGCAAGCGACTTCAGTCTGAGAGGGTACGGAGAAGAAAATTCCCTCTACACCAGTTATGAACGCAGTGAATACGCAGCGCACCAGTAGCCATACCTTCAGACAAAACGAATGAAATCAGGTTTGCGGTAGCATGGCTGAGTGATTAAAGGCAGTTGGCACGATAAATCCCTGAGACAGTGGGATAAGTACGCCTGGCAGGACAAGATTCCGCGACCCTAAGCAGGTACAGGGTAGCACCTAAGGAAGGTAGCCCTATAAGGCCTTATCAAGCTACAGCATACCGACCCGAACGCCCACCGCGCCCGCCCGCCCACAAATGGACGACCGTACCTGATGCTCGTATTGCTTCATTTGCTAAGCAAAATGTGAAGCGAAGGGATTGGTAGGATCTATTAGTACATGCGTACAGCCATATCTATCGCAGCGGTTATTGGCATGATTCCTATGGGAACTCGTCCGAAATTGCTTCTGAGTCATTAAAAACGAAGGCTTTTCTTCGCAGTTTTTGACCGTTTCACTTCGTTTTTTCGCCATTTTCCCCACTATATAGCGCCCTGCTAGCATTTTAGGCCGAGTACCAAATTATCGTGCCAACTGCCTTTAACACATTGACGACAGCGTGATACACATTTAATGCGCGCTTGTGGGCCACGTGGGACCGCGCGAATTGTATACGAATCACGATCAACAAATCCATATCTTTCCTAGTGCATGATTTTTTGTTTAGTTTCTCCTATTCATTCTATAGGCCAGTCCTTAGTAAACTCGTACAACGCTTTCCTGTGGAAAGAGCACTATAAGCTTGAATTGGTTTGCTCCTCAACTTTGGAATGGTTTGCTGTTTAACTCTTTGCCAACAAATACAGACAATTACAACATTAATAATGATGAAAAAATATAAGGTGAAGGATTCTGAATCCTATAGAAAGCACGATTTGCGTTTTTCATGAAAAAAATTGGTTACCGACAAATTCCTGGCCCTGGTGCAAAGAGAGTTGGCCCAGCTCCAGATTTTTCCATAGTAAATAATTGACTTACTTCACAATTGCTCTCTAAACCACGTTTTTCGATCCAATCTCCAAAAAAGCGCTTCGTGGGACGGCTTGAATTGTATGCGTACAGCGCTTGTGGCGTTCAAGAAAACGCGCGTGTCCCACGCGGCCAAAAAGTAAAAACGCGCATTGTCGTCAACGTGTTAAAGACTTGCTTTCGCAAGTGCTGGTCCCACTTGTCCCACGTGCTGCTAGTGTTGAGGTGAGGGGGGAACTATTTCTGACTATCTTCAGAAAAAGGTCAGGATTTGGTATGCAGATTTTAGCATCACTGCCAGATTCTAAAGACCGCGCGCAGGTGGCTCTCATGGGACAGGTGAAAATTGGAGCAGACAGACCAAAACAATCATGATTTTGTCGCTCGCCACGCGGTCTATCTGGAGCATGCGCACTCAAATTTCGATGGCATCACTTTGTCGCTTAGTACAGCGAACCGATACGATGTCAAGCAAGACGACAACTTCATGACCATGGCCAATTCAAAATTTTTTCATCCCTCTGTCACTAATATTTGAACAGGCGTCCAGCAGGCAATCGTCTTTCGCGACCGGCGCGCTCGCTATCCCTTCAGCACGACCTTTAAGTTGTCACATATCCGCAGAATGGACCTGTTACTTCAATCGCGATAAGAATGTTGCTGCCGATCTCCCTGGAACCTGCGAATTCCCACAATAGGTTATTCCACTGTTTTAGCAAGCAACCGCAAAAAACAGGCTGAATCGGTTCGTGAGAATCAGATAACCGCACGAAGCTTATCTTATTGTGTCCGCCCAACCACCGTATTAGCCTCATCAGCGCGCATGGTTGGGTTGCTTCTTCTAGCAACGGTTTCACATGCTGTACTGCCGAAAGTATCAGCGATTTTTCCTTGAGGGGAATAAGGAGAGGTCGGTTCATCGATCCGTTTCCGAAGCTAAACTTTAGTATTAGCTTGTCCTTAAACCTACGAATTGCGGCAATTTCCAAGCAGTGCGCTCCGTGTTTGGTATTTATGGCTATAGACAAGACCTGCAGTGGAGGAATAGTGGCAAGCGCTCCCTGTTTACCTCCGTTGGTGGGACCATATCGGGAAGGGTTACTGTAAAGCGCTTAGCTTAGTCCTCCTTGTTACGTTAGCTGGTGCTAGAGACTCTTCTTGGAAGTTTGAAAGCACCTATTTATACTTGCGTTAGTAATGTTGTGCCTCACGAGCTTGGTAGGCGGAATTTTATTACTTTAAGTTTTCGACTGATTCTCGTCTTCGGAAGCCCAGGGTTCCACCATCAGAGGGGGATAATCTGCTGCTACTTTTAAGCGTTAGTAGATGACGAGTAAAATTACTTTTACCCACTTAAATATAGTTAATTCGTCATCTACTAACGCTCAAAAGTGGTAGCGGATTTTTCCCGCTCTTGAGGTGGAACCCTGGGCCTCCGAAGACGACGAATCAGTCGAAACGTTAGGCCGATTGAATAAAAGTTCCACCTACCAACCTCGTGAGGCACAACATTACTAACCCAAACTCCAACTTACCATGCGGAGGTTGCAAGAAGAGAGAATCTGGGAAATACTAACTTATACAACTCGGCAACCCATGTATAATCATTATATGTGCCAGGTCACATTCAAACTGTTACTGCGATTCCGACTGGGAGTAGAACTCGTGGCGTATCTCAAAATTGAAATGATCAAAGCCAGGAGCTTCATCCTTCAATATTTATTCTGTCATAAGCTCGTGGAAATTGTCAGAGATCATGAAATGCTTGTGAGAATTCGCGAGGGAAAAAAGCTCTTTCGCTTTTGTCGGTCGAAAAACGACAAAATTCCACCGAGTCTGCTCGGGATTCGGGGTCCTGTGTGAAGTGGATGTGATAGTTGCAAGAACTGATCGATATTGGTTTGTCAAGTTTAATGATGGTAGTTTCTCTCTGGACGATACGCCGCTCTGGGTGGCCTTCTTCTAAGATAAGCAGGAACTGGTGCACTGGAAAATGCTGGAGAACAGTAAAACGGTAATAAAACCGTCATATAACCGCCTTTCTGCAGCTAAATGGAAATTGAAATCGTAAATTTTATTAAAGACTTATTGTGTTAAGCCATTGGAAGCGATAACCCTACAGACGAGGCCAAATCATCACCAAGGTCAAATCGGCTAAATCCAGTCAAAGCAAATCATGAATCTTTCCGCCGACCTTATGGCTCCATTCGCAATACATCTGGTCATTGTTGAGAATTGTAGAATGGCGCAGTTGAAAGAAACGTTTCACCGTGGCAAGTTGTAGCCAGGGTTCCAAAATGAACGAGCTAGTTCGTTCGAAGAAACGAGCAGAAAGAAACGCCAAAAACGACGTAAATGGGAGCGAATATATTTTCAGCCCCTACTAAAGATTTGCTCATCGTTTACGGGAGAGTGAAACCACCTACCAACCAGGTAATCGCGAGATGTGCCTTTGAAGAACACTCTATAGATCGCAGTTTCGTAATCTTCTATTGCTTCGTAAGGTGGCCATGCAAGGCGTGTCAGCTCTGGTGCAGGGTAAGCGCATCGTGTGATCATCACACGTGGAGGATCGTGTATTTACCGGCGTAGGGAGGGGGGGGTCGTATTTGGGTGAGATACCCCCGTGTTGGAGAAAATTGTTTTCTGATAGTTGATTTACTCTTTGTTTCACTGAGACGCTGTAAAATGGGGGTCGTAATTTGTCAGGTCCAGGGAGCGGCACTACTTTTCGACACTTGAAAATGATTGTTTAATTCTGACGACCTCCCCCCCCCTCGCTCGACGGCTCGGTTCGATGAGGAAGGACAGAGGGCTGGGTGGGGGACGGGGGTCCTACCACTACCCCAAAAAAGGGTCGCAAGATTTTCAGAAGAATGATCACAGACGCGATGTGGCGCCCCTGCCTGGTGAGTCGCCGACAGGGACTGTAGTCCAAATAGAGTTAATGAAGGAGTATTTGGACAATGCAAAAAGCGGGGCTCGATGTTCTCGTTCGTTGTTACCTGCACAGGCTCGCATCGTAGGGCAGAAATTGAAAAGAATTTACACTATGCTAAAGGAAAC